TCACCTCTGTGGGCCCAAGGACTGCTTCAGTCCTGCTGTGTCTCTCCTCACGCTGACCTCATGATGCTCCAGTAAATGCTAGTTAAGTGGAATTAAATTCTATTAAAAGCCTACATATTTTTGTTAGGTTGAATTACATTATGACTTGTGATTATGTTTTACCTTTGAGATTATTAAATATTCAAACCATCCTATTTGTCATGCCTCTTTGCCACTGCGGAGGTGGGTGGGGGGAGAATCCAAAACAAACTTTCCCAGATTCGCTCAACTTCCATCCCTTTGGGTAATATACAGATTGTCAAAAATTGAAAAACTAAATTAAAACTGTGAACAAAAAAGCAAATTCAGCTCTTCAGGTTTTGTCTTAGAGAAATACCCAGGAGCTATTTATTTTAAATAACATTAACTCTACTGCAAATAAGGGGGAAACAAGCAGATTCTTAAAAAGTCTGAAAAAGTGATTTAACTTCTATACACCTCCTGATTTGTCAGTCTATAGCTAGAAGAAAAGGGGGCTCTGGTGGCCTAGTGGTCAGAAGCTATGCTGCAATCCCCAAGGCACACAGTTCAAATCCACCATCTGCTCTGCAGGAGAAGGCTGTACAATCTCCTCCTGTGTGATTACTGGCTCCAAAAACCCACCGGAGGGTTAGCTATGGGTTAGTTCCTACCTGAGAACAAGAACAACAACAGCAAGAAGAAAAAGAATATTGCTTCTAGACCTAAACGCTACTTGCGGTATCTCACTGCTGTATGCTCATAAGAAGATTCTGACTCATAGTGACCCTACAGGACAGAACAGCACCACTCCACAAAGCTTCCTAGGCTAGAGGGTGTCATTATTGCCGTAGGTCATCAGGTCTTTTCTCCTGTGGAGGTGCTGGTGGGTTTGAACCATTGACCCTTCAGTTCACCGCTGAGAGCTTGAACCATGCTTCTACCAAGGCTTCATGATTTGAGGCATAAAACCAGAAAATCAAACTTGTCACCAGACGGATTCTAACTGAGCGAGTCTAGAGGCTGGAGTGGAACTAACCCGTAGAGTTCCAGGAGTCAGAATCTACATATCACGGTAGTAGTGTTTCTGTTTGTTCATATCAAATAGAAGGAGGCAAAGTGTCTCATCTTTCTCTTGGTGGATTTGAATTGTTGACCTTCTCATTAGCAGGCAAACACACAAATCCTGGGCCACCAGAGCTCCCAACTTGAGGCATGACCCATTGTCGTCCTGTTGAATCTGACTCACAGAAATCGTCCATCAGGTTTCTGAGGATGGAAGTCTTTACAGGAACAGACTGCTCATTTTTCTTCTATGGAGCTGCTGGTCTACTTGAACTGCAGACCTTTTGGTTAATGGCCTAGCACACTGTACACTACACCAGCAGGGCTCTGAGAACAAATCTAGTTCACTTCTATTCCTTCCTTTGGGCTTTCAATTCCTGTTTGAGATTTCAAATTTCTAGAGTGACATTTCTATCTGCCCAAAGGAGAATTCCGGTAGCTCTGGCCTCCTAAGAACAGAATCTGGAAAAGTTTACAGATACTTAGCAGTCACGGTTACCTTAAATACCTTAGTAATCCTGCAGTTCTATTCAGGGCACTTTTCATTCAACACGACAGATAAACTGACCTTAATTATGATAACTTGATGATAATAAAAACAACAGCAGAGAGTGAGTGACAACTTCAAATGTTCACTCTGGTGTTCTAGAAACTATGCATTAAAGAGACAGACAATGAGAGACACAGAGATAGAGAAATATAATAAGACAAAAGGAAACTGGGGGACATTCAAAGACAATTTCCAAAAAAGAGTAGAAAAAAAATTGAATCCTTAATCTCATGATATAAACACATGCTTCATACTATAAGTATATTAAGTAATTAATTGTTGTTGTGCTAGGAAAACAAACAGATTCCTCCTGGAAAGGGTTAAACCGGGTGGCTCCTTGGAGGCAAGGATTCTGAGGCTCTGTCTAACATACTTTGGACATGTTGTGAAGAACGGCCTCTGCTTGGAGGACATCAGGCTTGGGAGGCTGGAGGGAGAGCGCAGGGGGGGAAGGCCCTCTATGAGGTGGATTGATTCAGTGACTGGGATAATCGGGATGGGAGTGTCAGAGGCAGTGCGATTGGCACAGGACAGAGCAGAGTTTAGGGCTGTTGTACATAGGGTCGCTATGAGTCACAAGCGACTCGATGGCACATAACAACAACAATTGTTGTTGTTGATGGCCTTCAAGTCGAGCACAACTCATAGCGAGCCTATGAACAAAAGGCCTGAAGGCCCACTGCATCTATTGACATTTATCAAAGTCCACAGAGTTTACAGAGACAAGTTATTTAGTAAGTGAATGCCACGCCTCCTTTATTAATCAATTATAATTAAAGCTATAAAACACAATGTCTATGACTGACTGGCAATGCAGTATGGTTTGTAAGCTTTTACAAAATAAAAAATTTTAAAAAGATAAAAACCAAACTGGTTCATGCTGACACTCTTAAACTCTGCCAAGACTAGAGATCATTCCATGATTTTAAGTTTCATATAGAAGTCTGAGTCCCAAAGTGAGCCAGGAACAAGCCAGAAAGGAAATTCTGGATCTAAACAAAGAGGGGACCAACAGAAATACAAACATTTCTATTGGGTTTGCTCTAGAGTAGCGAAGCCAGGTTCAGAGGTTGTCACCGTTGTTAGGTGTGACAGAATCAAGGGTGATCTATAGGGACCCTGTGAACAGCCAACTTTACCCTTGTCCTATTCTGTGCCAGCCTCATCATCTCTGATATACTTGAGCCCATTGCTGCAGTCACTGCCAATCCATCTTGTGGAGTGTCTCTCATTGACCTTCCACCTTTCCTAGCATGATGCCCCTTTATAAGGAATGGCCTCTTTTAAATGTCCCAAGTATCTGAGATGAAGCTTTATCATCCTTGCCTCCAAGGAACACTCAGGCTACACTTTCTCCGAGATATGTGTTTGTTCATTTTGGCAGTCCATGGGATCTTCAGCTGTCACCTCCAACAACACAACACAAAGGCATCACTTTTTCTTCTGTCATCCTTAATCACTGTCCAGCTCTCAGACCCACAGAAAGTGACTGAAAAGACTATGGTTTGACTCAGGCATCCCTTGTTCTTCAAATTGACATCATTCCTCTTTAGTACCTTGAAGAAGTCCCTCATTTCAGTCTTTCCCAATACATCTTTTGATCTCTTGACTATTGGTGCCAAGGGTGTTGACTGTGGATCCAAGTAAGATGAAGTAATTGACAATTTAAATCTTTTCTCTGTCTATCACGATGTAAGAGGGAGCTCTGGTGGTCTATGGTAAGAAGCTGCCCTGCAACCCCAAAGGCACCCAGATTGAATCCACCAGCTGCTCCAGGGGAGAAGGATGGGCAATCTTCTCCCGTGTGCTTCAATGCCTCTGAAAGCCTGCTGAAGGAGCTCAGAGTTGGTTTTGGCTTGACGGCATATAACAACAATAGCATCATGATCATATGTGAAGATTTCTGTCTTCTCTATGTTCAGAAGTTATTTATTTTGAAGGCTGTAGTCATTGGTCTTCTGCAGCAAGCTCTTCAAGTCCTCCTCACTTTCAATGTATCATCTGCATAGCATAGGCTGTTGATAGACTTCTTCCAATCATAATGGCACATTCTTCTTCCCAGAGACCAGCTTCTCAAGTGATTTGTTCAGCATACAGATTGAACAGGTATAGAGATAGCATATAACCCAGATGCATAGCGTTCCTGATTTTAAACCATGCAGTGTTCCCTTGCTCTGTTCTGATGGTAACTTCTTGGTCTAAATTTCATATAAGGTTTAGAGGCAGGTATGAAAATAATAGGGTATCGGTCAACCTCTCCGTAAGTGAAGAGACATATAACAGTATAAGAGGGCCACATGTATGGGGAGCTCTGGTAGCCTAGTGGCAAGAAGCTGCACTACAATCCCAGAGGTGCACAGTTCAAATCCACCAGATGCTCTGCCGGGGAAGGAGGGACAATCTCCTCCTGTACCAGTCAGATCTGATTTGACGGTACACACAAATAGTAAAATAAATTAAAAAAAAAGAGGGCCACATGTTTGAAATCTTGAGATTTCACTACTAGAACATAGTACCTCGTTTGTGTGAACAATGTAGGTCTTGCTCATCAGTGTATTCTCAGGAGCTAGAACAGTAAACACTGCACAGTAGAAATTCCTACACATTTTATAAATGAAAAAAAGAATATTTTTTAAAAGAATTTTTCAGTAAGCAAGTATAATACACATGGTGCATTTTGTAATGCAGGTAGCTTCTGCAATCAACCATGTGAACATAATCTGATGAGATACAGGCATCCTCCACACTGGAACTGTGCTGAAGGCACCAGGCTGTTACCAAGAGGAGTCTCCAAATTTGTCACGTTAACTCACATCCCCAGAAAATGAATTCCTGCAGGAATGATGAATCCTCTCCCACTGGACTAGGAGTTTTTGCACCATTCTGGGGGAAAAGGAGTAATCGACAACACAGAGAGAGCTACGTCGGCCTAGTGGACAGAAAGTTATGCTACCAAGCCCAAGGTGGGTGATTTTAATCTGTGACCCTCAGACCTGGTTCAAATTGTTTTTCTGTCAAACATCCGTCTAAGTGGTAGAGCACTGGTCTGTGCTTTGCTGTACAGAGGTAACTCGTGGTTGCAGTGATGCTGAACACTGTGACACTGATGTGCCAAATGCATGAATGGTTACCCATGGTGGACAGTGTCTGGTGGAGCTTCCCGATTAAAATAAGCTATGGATTGCCTCCGGAAACTCTATGAACAGTACTCAGGCCTTTCGTTCAAAGGGTCGCTATTGAGTTGTCTATGACTCCACGGCACTTAACAACAAAAACACGGCAGTAATGGAGCCATGAGCTTTTCATCTTCCCAAACTATTAAAATGCAAATTGGGGGAAGAAGGAGACCCTTAGCTGGGTCTCCCTGAGCACCCTGGGTAGCACTCACATCCATCCGTTGTCCGCACCTCCATGTGCACCAGGTCCGCCTCCTTATCCAATCCGGCCACCGACCTGGAGAAGGAAGGGAGAGACAGAGACTCAGTGGCCATGAGGATGGCAGGCAGGCAACAAAGAAGGGAGACTCAGGGGCCAACGAGTCCTCTAAATCCACTTCCTCAAAAGGCTGATGTCACTCCATACTGTGGGGTCTGACAGAACATAATGACTCAAGAAAACTCATTGGTACTGAGTTGGTTCCTACTGCCAGCCAGCCACCTTCCACTGGGTTTCTGAGACTGTAAATCACTAACAGGAGGAGAGCCCATCTTTCTCCTATGTTGCTGTGTATGGATTAAAACTTCCAAAGGCAGAGCCTCGCTGCTAGGTTTTTAGGAAAGCAGCGCAACATGCTATGACCCACTCGACTAAAGTGCTCTGTGTCCACCAGTGACCATAATGGCAACTGCAGCAGAACTGTAATGGGTGCAGTCATGAGTCTGGTAGAGACGCCAGTGGCTCTCTAAAATTAAAGCAAGAGGTGGATTGATACAGTGACTGGGGTAATCGGGATGGGTGTATCGGAGACAGTGCAACTGGCACAGGACAAAGCAGAGTTTAGGGCTGTTGTACATAGGGTTGCTAGGAGTCGCAAGTGACTTGATGGCACATAACAACAAGACAAGAAAATACAGACAGATAGTACAGACCTCATGGCAGTCAATGTGGGCCCAAATCCCAGCCCTTCTCTTGCCCTCCACACATTTGCCGATTGATTCTTCCACCCTTCTGCCATGCTGGACTTGATTACGCTCACCACATCCCCTTCTCTCCTCCCCCCGTGGAGTGGTTCTGCTCCCAGCTACTGCGAGCAAGCTGGTCAGACTCAGTTCCAGCTTCCAGCCACCCTTGCTCTCTTGAATTTTATCCTTCTTTCCTCCTGCCTTTTCTAATCTGTCTTTTCAGCGCCCTGATTTGAGAATGTAATTTCAAAATCTGGTCTGATAAGGAGGAGGCTACTCAGGTGACTAGACGGGAAATCCTAAAATTGTGTGTCTCAAAGCTGGAAGAATGTGGAGAAGCTCTTCAAACCAATCCCATAAGCCTCCACCCATCCCCAGGCAGGCCCCCTCTAGCCTTTGCTATTCTGTCCAGAGTCAGACCCAGAAAATGAGCTGAAAGAGCCAGCACAGACACAGAGAATGCACACACTCGGAAAGCTCTGGTTCTGACTCAGGGTCCACCTACTCTGATTTTAAATATGCTTCCAAGAGATTGGTTTCCTGACTTTTAGTTTTCAGTAGATACAAAGCAGCAAGTCAGAAAGAGAAAGCAGAATAAACACTGGTGAAAATTAGCAGCAGACACCAAGAGAGAAAGAGAAATAGAAAATCTATGAGAAACAGATTGAAGAACTCAAAATCCAATTGTCCACACTATAAATCCCTCACTTCTCAATAGCCCTGAGGGCGATATTGTAATACAGCACCATTCAGTGTCTGGCATTAAGCTGAGGGATTAAAGATAGAAGAAAAAAGGGAAGCAGGAGGAGGTGGTTTTGGTACATCAAATAGAGGAAGAAACTCCTAAGATCCTAGAATAGCCACGGATGTATTTTAGGAAAGAAAATACTTAAATTGAGAAAGTGATTATTTCTCTAATTAGTGAACTTATATTTACCTAAAAGTTTACTAATAGTTTTCTCCACAAAAAAAAAAAAGCCATACAAATGAGACTAATGATACTACTCCCTGAGGACAAATATCTATCTATATCTATATCATCTCTATCTCTATATAATCTATGTCTATGTCTATATCATCTATATCAATATCATCTATATCTATATCTATATCATCTATATGAATATCATCTATATCTATATATCTATATCTTTTTCATTTTGTTCATCCTACTCGACACGGTGTATATGGAGACCTCTCCTGTGCAGCAGCCTTCTTGTTTCTTTATGTACCAGTGGTCTTCTGAGAATTAGCTGTCACTCTTTCATACTCCCCCTATCCTCACCAAGGAGGAGCCTGGGCAAAATTGGAATCAAAATAAGTAAGCCTGATGGCACTCACTTACAGGGCTCTGGTGGCACAGTGTATAAAGTGTCAGACTGTTAATGGCAAGATCAATAGTTCTAACCTACTAACTAGCTGCTTGCGGAAAGAATGAATACAATCACCTCCTGTGCAGATTTACAGACACCAGATGGAGGGTTGATATTAGTTACCCTCCACTTGACAGCAATGGGTGGTCCTCCCCATTAATACTATGTTTTAGTAACAAAATTTTTTATTAACCCCTGGTGGCACAATGGTTGAACACTCAGCTGATAACCAGATGGTCAACAGTTCAAATCCACAAGCTGCCAGAGAAAAAAGGTACGGAGAGGTTTTCTCCAGGTCTGTCTCTTTCTTCACAACAGGGAATTTCACCTGGTAGCTCCCCTAACAAAGCTTCTTTAGCTTAAAAAAAAAAAAAAGAAAGATATGGAGTCTACTTCCATAAAATTTATAGCCTGGAAAAGTTCTACTCTGTGTGACAAGGTCTCTGCGAGTCATTCACATGACAACAATGGAGATTTTTTTAACAAAAGATGGTACGTCCTGGTCCTGTGTCTTACAATCTTGAGACAAGGCAAACAACATGGATAAAAACAAGCACAGAAATTGTGCTCTTACCCAACAATGTTCTCTCCCTTCCAAGCATCTAAATGTTTATACATCTTCCAAGGCTGAAATCAAGATTCAGGTCCTCCACGGCTCCCTCCTTGATCACGTTAGCTCTCTGTGATCTCTGTTCTATACACTTCAGAATTGGGACCAGACATCTCTCTGCACTTGGTTTATTAACCCCGCTTGAGTAACTCTTGCCTTGCTAGAGGGGGCAACTGTGGTATTAGTTCACTTAACTCCTTCCTTCTATCCTTCACGAACTTGAGCTATCTGACTTAAGCTATGAGTTTCAAGTCAGCGTGGACAAGAAGACTAGTCATTTTCAGGACATCCAACATAGCACATGACCCAGCATCTTAGTCACAGTATCTGTGACAAAAGGACAGGGTAGAGGACTTTCACAGGATCCCTCTACCTAGAGCTGGTATGAAGAACTGTTTCTCCTCTCTGATCATCAAGTCAGAACTATCAGGAGAAGCTTCCCCAGCATTACAGGAAGGTCAGGTCTGAAAGAATGGTGTGGATACACAGAGAAAAGAGAAGCTGATTGTGTAACACAGTTTAGCATAAAGAGAGAGGAGAGTACGGTGATTGTGGTCAAGGGAGATGCAGTCTGTGGGAAGAAATGAGGGCCACATAGAACCATGGAAAGAGACAGAGGGGTTGGGGTGGAGAGAGAGCACACACACAGATAATTTAGAAAATCCAAAGTAATATATGAACACTGAAACACTGAGACAGATAGAGTGCTAAGTATAAATGGAGACATTTAAATCTACAGCCAGTCATTTTTCAGTCCTGTTCCAAGTTCACAGATTGCTCTCTCACACACATGAGCCCAAGGGGAACTTTTGTTGGTGAGTGTTTCTATTTATTTTCTTAAGTCATCAATAACAAATCAAATGATTCTTTTTAATATGTAACCAATCCACCAGCGTATCTCCTAAGGGCAGGGACCAGACCTTGATGATATATCTCTAACACTTACTACATACATAGCTCAAGACTGGATAGGCCCGATTAATGCTTGAAGTAAGAGATTAGATTTGTGCTTCAAAGCTGCTCTATTCTTTGGACCACAGGGAAGAGATTAAGGTGCTCAAGTAGCCAAGAGATGGAGCAAAACAACTCGGATATATTGAGGGTAAGGAGAACCCTCTTCACTACAGTCCGACATGTGGTCCCTGTCCTACACACTGGAGGATATTTAGGAGCATTTTTAATAGTTGTTGTTGTTGTTATGTGCCATCGAGTCACTTGTGACTCATAGCGACCCTGATACAAGGGCCCTAAACACCATTCTATCCTGTGCCAACCTTGCCATCTCAAATGCACTTATTCCCACCACTCCAGTCACAGAATCGATCCATCTCATCGAAGGTCTTCCTCTCCTGCCCCACCCCTCCACTCTACCAAACATGATGTCCCTCTTCAAGGACCAGTCCCTCCTTGCAACATGCCCAAAGTATGTCAGACGAAGCTTCAGAATCCTTGACTCCAAGGAGCATTCCGGCTTCACTCTCTCTAAGATAAACCTGTTTGTTCTCCTAGCAGTCTAGGGTATATTCAACACTCTTCTCCAGCATCACAGTTCAAAGGCCTCAATTCTTTTTCTATCAACCCTATCCACTGTCCAACTCTCTGATGCATAGCACACAATTGGGAAGACTATAGCCTGGATCAGGTGCACGTTAATCTCCAGCCTGACACTGTTGCTCTTCAGTACTCTTGAGAGGTCCCTCACTGCTGACTTTCCCAATGTACTTAGTCTCTTGATTTCCTGGCTGCTGTTACCAAGAGTTTTAATAGTACCATCAAAAAATATCAATAAGAAACTCTTAATAAAGGCTTCTATAACACCTTATTACTCTCCCCAGTATAGAAAGCATTCTCTAAATGATAATCACTTGTTTATTGTCTCTCCCACCCTTGAAACACAAGGTATATTTAGACAGAATATCAACATTATATCCTACATGGTATATGATCAATAAATATTTGTTTAATGAATTGTTATAACACTTTTTTCCTGGTCAGTGTAAAGCCAGGGATCAGGTTCTAAATTGTCTTGTACCTTTAGCCCCTATGTAATCCTGGAACAAGAACTTAGATATCAAAGATATATCTTCTCCTTTTCTTTTTGAATTTTTATACATGTATTGCTCAGTTATCCTCCTATTTTTACAATAATGGTCTTATGTAGTATTTGCCCTTAAAAGAATGAGTTAGGTCACCCAGTGTGATGATCTCTAGACATTCCCATATTATCCCTCATTTTTTGAAACCATTGTGCCTTAGTGCTGCATAGTATTGCATTGTGAGAATGTACCACAATTTCTCAGTCCATTCACTTGTCTGTGGGCGTTTCAGCTGTTTCCGTTTTCTTGCTAT